GCGAAGCGGCGTAAACAGCGAAGCGGCGTAAACAGCGAAGCGGCGTATTTATGGATTTTTTCCACTTTATTAGACATTTTTGGACTGATGCGACTTACAGGGCGGAGTGACGTGTACGGCGGAAAATACGGTATACAGAAACTTAACGTGACATATGATGACGGAATGAGAATGCTGCTTTGGATGCCGAGATGGACTAGTTCAAATCAATTATTTGTTGGTGTCTCCACTTTTTATGCTGCATTACGTAACCTCGTGTACAGATTTATGTGGAGATTAAGTGATTCTACAAATAACATCATCCTGATAACAGATAGTGCACAAAGCTCAGTCAGGTTTAAGTCCAGAATGTGGAACCATTGGCGTTTCAGCCTTTATGTAAATCTGTGACTTACATTTGTGATTTTTATCTTTTTAAATTATTTATTTGCATTTTTTTTTAATATGGACCTACTTGTGTCTTTAATAAAGGTGATGATGATGAACGTAATTAAAATAAATTTACAAAACAATCAGGATTAAGCGTGGACTGTTTGTAGCTGGCGTTAAATCTGTTCAGTTGATATTAGACAACTTTTTAATTAATTTCTCAAGCCCTCTGTTGCCTTTGTCAAAACTGTGGATTTAAACTAGTTCTGTTGGAAACAACCCCCAAACAGCCCTGAATTTTCACCTCAGGTGAATCAACCTGTCTGAACGCACCATCCATCATGATGGGTGGGGGCTGGTAAATAGCCCACAGGTGACATCAGTCGGGTTGGACCAGAGGGCGAGTGAAGAGACATCAACACACACAGTGGAAAAAGTTCATCTAAACATTTTAACCATAATAAAAACTGAGAATTCATTTTTGTACCTGCTTTTCCTTCCTGGGTCATGGAGCTGGTGTCTTATCTCCATCGATCACTGCAAGAGGTCGGTACACCTGGACACAACATTCACGCTCTCACACCTAGAGACAATTTAGAGTTACCACTTAACCTAACACGCATGTTTTTATTCTGTCACAGGAAACCAGAGCACATGAAGAAAACCTACACCTGCACGACGAGAACATACAAGACCGGAAGGCGATCCTGCAACCTTCTCACTGTGAGGCAACAGCAATAACCGCTTCGCCTCCATGCTGATAAATTAAACAAAAGCAGCAAAAGCAGGTTTGATTGCCTGTGCTCGTGTAGTCTGGGTTATGTTAATACTAAACCACGAAAACATGGTTTAAGGATTAACATGACCTGAACTACAAACAGGACCGTTCAGAAGTTTTCAAGTATCCGTCATAACGTGCTTAAGGAGTCAAACGTTCTTTAAACCTTTTAAAGTCCTGATCAATAAGTTTTAAGGATACAGGGGATAGATGAGGCTTGATTTGTTGTTGTCGTGGTGACTTATAAAAAGGAGGAGCTATAAAAAATAACCAGTATTTGTGATGTACGGGAAATGTGGAACAGCTTTATGGTTTCAAATTTAAATCACAGTGAATGTTTGATTAAATGCCTCGTTTTCTTTACAGTTCCAGTTTAGAGCTAACAGTGACATCTGGTGGAGAACATCTGGTTTTGTCTCATGCCAGTGTCTACAATAGATCTGCTGATTTGCCTTCTAGTTTGTCCACAACAGGCCCCCTTAGTTTCAGCCTCTAAAATCTCATAAACTGAGAAGGTGGTTTAAATAATCATCAGCTCCTGATCAGAACAAACATGAAAAGATTAAATATACAAAATGGCACACGTAATACTGGGTAGCATCTACAGGTCCTTCTCAAAAAATTAGCATATTGTGATAAAGGTCATTATTTTCCATAATGTAATGATAAAAATGAAACTTTCATATATTTCAGATTCATTGCACACCAACTGAAATATTTCAGGTCTTTAATTGTTTTAATACTGATGATTATGGCATACAGCTCATGAAAACCCAACATGCCTGTCCCAAAAAATTAGCATATTTCATCCCACCAATGAAAGACAAGTGTTATTAATACAAAAAAACACCAACCTTCAAATAATCCTGTTCAGTTATGCACTCAATACTTGGTCGGGAATCCTTTTGCATGAATGACTGCTTCAATGCGGCGTGGCATGGAGGCAATCAGCCTGTGGCACTGCTGAGATGTTATGGAGGCCCAGGATGCTTCGATAGCGGCCTTAAGCTCATCCAGAGTGTTGGGTCTTGCGTCTCTCAACTTTCTCTTCACAATATCCCACAGGTTCTCTATGGGGTTCAGGTCAGGAGAGTTGGCAGGCCAATTGAGCACAGTAATACCATGGTCAGTAAACCATTTACCAGTGGTTTTGGCACTGTGAGCAGGTGCCAGGTCATGCTGAAAAATGAAATCTTCATCTCCATAAAGCTTTTCAGCAGATGGAAGCATGAAGTGCTCCAAAATCTCCTGATAGCTATTGACCCTGTGCATTGACCCTGCGCTTGATAAAACACAGTGGACCAACACCAGCAGATGACATGACACCCCAGTGACTGTGGAAACTTGACACTGGACCTCAAGCAATGTGAATTCTGTGTCTCCTCTCTTCCTCCAGACTCTGGGACCTTGATTTCCAAAGGAAATGCAAAATTTACTGTAATCAGAGAACATAACTTTGGACCACTCAGCAGCAGTCCCAAGCGAAATGCTTCTGACGCAGTCTCTTGTTCAAAAGTGGCTTGACATGGGGAATGTGGCACCTGTAGCCCATTTCCTGCACACGCCTGTGCACGGTGGCTCTGGATGTTTCTACTCCAGACTCAGTCCACTGCTTCCGCAGGTCCTCCAAGGTCTGGAATCGGCCCTTCTCCACAATCCTCCTCAGGGTGCGGTCACCTCTTCTCTTTGTGCAGCGTTTTCTGCCACACTTTTCCCTTCCCACAGACTTCCCACTGAGGTGCCTTGATACAGGACTCTGGGAACAGCCTATTCGTTCAGCAATTTCTTTCTGTGTCTTACCCTCTTGCTTGAGGGTGTCAATGATGGCCTTCTGGACAGCAGTCAGGTCGGCAGTCTTACCCATGATTGCGGTTTTGAGTAATGAACAAGGCTGGGAGTTTTTAAAAGCCTCAGGAATCTTTTGCAGGTGTTTAGAGTTACGTTGTTGATTCAGATGGTTAGGTTAATAGCTTGTTTAGAGAACCTTTTCATGATATGCTAATTTTTTGAGACAGGCATTTTGGGTTTTCATGAGCTGTATGCCATAATCATCAGTATTAAAACAATTAAAGACCTGAAATATTTCAGTTGGTGTGCAATGAATCTGAAATATATGAAAGTTTCATTTTTATCATTACATTATGGAAAATAATGACCTTTATCACAATATGCTAATTTTTTGAGAAGGACCTGTATAATTGATTATATTCTGATTAATGTCTTACTGATAATCTGAATGTTTCCTGTTCTGATTATTACAAAAGGAGGAATCTTAAAAAAAAAAGGCAATTACAAAACATTTGTTGACATTTATTGTATAACAAAAACAAAACTTCAGACTAGGGCTGGGCGATATGGACTTAAATGAATATCTTGATATTTTAAGATAAATCGCGATATGTCTCGATATTTTTTTTACATAAAGTAATAAACTATTTACATATATTAAAGTTTGGTTTTGAAGCATTTATTTACATATACAAGTTTCAAGACATTTGATAACGTCCATAGAAAAATCAAAGCAAATATGTTCTTGTTTTTAGTGTTTCACCCTGTTTTATGGCAATTAATAAATCTGAAGTCTGATTCTAATGAAGTATATTCATTCAACCTTTAATAACCTTTATTAACAAAGATCTGACTCTAAAAGTGCAGAGCTCAGTTGGAGTTTTTTTTTCTCTCTCTCTGGACATGGATGGAGCCTTGTTGTTCAAGTTTGTTTGTGCTTTACTTCAGACTAAGAGTTTTGAATGATTATTAGGATGAAAAAGTTTAAAGATCAATGGTCAAATAATTTGAACTCCGCTAACAGCCAGAAAAATAAATCTAAACCTCTTAAATTAATATCAAAGTTTTGTTCTCTTCATTGTCTTTCCTGTACTTTTATTACACGTGCACATTTCTGATCAGTAAACAAATTTAAGTGACCAACTTTCTGAACTTTAAAAAAAATATGAACTCGATTAAATTTTGATTTTCTCTGCGTCACATCTGAAACTACAGCAGCTCTTCTTACAAAGATTATCTTCATTATTCAGAAACATTCAAGGATGCTGAAGATACTTCAACGACTCTAGGAAAGAAACATTAACGACTTGTAATTTTGAGTAATTTTTTTTTTTGTAAAACTCAAATAGCCCATAACAAATTTAAAGGATTTTCAAAACTGTAACAAATGAAACCAGAAAATCATTTAACTGACTTTAAACGACCTCCAGAGATTTTCCTCTTAAGTTTACTTATGATTTATTGTAAAACTTTGAGACTAACAAATGTACTTAAATAAATCTAGAAACACTTCCTTGTAAATTTCTAAATTTATTTCAGTACATCTCCCAGTCTTCTTTGTAAATTGTGAAATGTAAAAAAAAAAAATAGAACTCAGTTTTAATCAACAAGTTAAAAAAATAAATCCTTTATTTTGTTTCCAGTTTTTGGTTATTTTCCTTCCAGACCGGAACTATTTGGCCTCTGAAACAATTTTTGCTCACAGATAAACCCAGTACAAACTGTTCTGTGGTTCTACAGCTGGATAAAGTCGGGCTGCAGACCATCCTGCCTCCTGAGTGGCTCTTTGTTACTGCGGACCACCTGGTGCACCTTCATGTGGACTTCTCTGGAGCGTTTCTCCTGGTAGCTTTTTCCACATATTTGGCAGCTGTAGGGTTTCTCGCCGGTGTGCGTCAGCAGGTGTTTCTTCAGGTCAGTATTGGTGACGAAGGCCTTCCAGCACAGGTGGCAGTTGAATGCCTGCTCCTTCTTGTGGAAGCGGATGTGGGTCTGCAGGTACCCTTTGGTGCTGAAGCTCTTGCTGCAGAGGCTGCAGCTGAATGGCTTCTCACCAGTGTGTGTCAGCATGTGGGCATTCAGCCCTGCCAGTTGCCTGAAGGATTTCCCACAGACGCGACAGAGGAAGGGCTTCTCGCCGGTGTGGATCCTCTTGTGGACCTCCAGGATGTGGGCTGAGGCTAAGCTCTTCCCGCAGGTCTCACAGGAGACGCGGTTGACCGGTTTGTTTCCAGTGTGGTTCTTCAGGTGTGTTGTCAGAGAGCAGCCATCGGTGTATGTCTTCCCGCAGATCTCACAGATGAATGGACGCTCCCCGCTGTGGGTCTTCCTGTGGCGCCGCAGAGCACCGGGCCGCGGGAAAGATTTACTGCAAATGCTACAGTGGTACGGTTTGAAGCCGGTGTGACTTCGCATGTGGGTCTCAATGTTCTGGTACTTTTTGCCACAGATGTGACAAATGTTACCCGTCTCTTTGTGTTTCTGTAGATGCTCAGTCAGCGTTTCAGACAGCAGCAGATTTTCCCCACAGATTCCACACACCGACTCTGACGAGTGACTTGTAACATGTTTCGTCAGACTGGCTTTAGTTTGAAAAGTCTCCCCACAGACTTTGCAGCAGGACGACGGCTGAGTCCTGATGTTTTGTGGCTCAGGTTCCAGGCTTGAACATTCTGATGGAGAGTCCACTTTATTGCTGTCACAAATTTCCATGGAGTCACTTCTAATGCGAGCCCTCAAAGTGCTGCTCTCTGTGAAGGACTTCCTGTGGGTCCTCTTGTGTTGCCTCAGTGCTCCAGGTCGGGGGAAGCGTTTGCTGCAGACGGTGCAGCGGTACGGTTTATAGCCAGTATGGTTCCGCATGTGTGTCTCAATGTTCTGGAAACGCTTCCCACAGACGTTACACTTCCCACTAGTCTCTTTGTGAGACTGCAGGTGAGTCTGCAGACTGTCAGATGTGTCGAGCTGCTCCCCACAAATGCCACACATGTTCTTAGAGTCGTTGCAGTGCGTCTTTGCGTGTTTCCCCAAAAAGCCCAGACTGTAAAAGAAATCACCACAGACTTTGCAGCAGAAAGAGGACTTCTCACCAAGGGTTGATTCAGTGTTTGCCTTTTGTTTCAGCGTCTTACCCTCACCTACATCATACCCCTCATTCTGATTTCCATTTTTATCTTCATGCATCTTGAGGTGCTCCTGGAGCAGCTGGATTTCAGTGAACGTTTGTCCACAGATCTGACAGGTGTCAGGCTTTTTTCTAATGTGGATCTTCTTGTGCCTCTTTAGCGCTCCATGCCGAGAGAAGTTCTTCCCACAGACGCCACAGCTGAACGGTTTGACACCAGTGTGGCTCCTTTTATGTACCTCCATGTTCTGGAACGTCTTTCCACAGATCTTGCAAGCCCCTCTTGTGCTAAGGTTATCTCTATGTGATGTAAGGTGATCTGACAAGCTTTTTGAAGACTCAAGGTGCTCTCCACAAACTCCACACGTGTTCTTAGAGTCGTTGCAATGCATCTCTGCGTGTTTTCTTAAAAAACCTGGACTGCGGAAGAAATCACCACAGACTTTGCAGCAGAAAGTGGAAGACGTCTTGCCGAGGGTTGGTTCAGTGTTTGCCTTTTGTTTCAGTGTTTCATTTATCTCACCTACATCAGCCACCTCACTCCATTCTCCATTTTTATCTTCATGCATCTTCATGTGCTCCTGAAGCAGATGCTTTTCAGTGAACGTCTGTCCACAGATCTGACAGGCTTCAAGCTTCTTTCTGCTGTGGATCTTCTTGTGTCGCCTCAACGCCCCCTCCCGTGGGAAACTCTTTCTACAAACATCACAGCTAAATGGTTTGACTCCAGTGTGGCTCCTTTTATGTGTCTCTATATTCTGAAATGTCTTCCCACAGATCTTGCAGGTTCCTCTTGTGCTAAGGTTGTCTCTATGTGATTTGAGGTGATCTGACAAGCCTTTTGAAGACTTGAGACGTTCTCCGCAGACTCCACAGAGATGCTCTGGGGAGTCGGAGTGTGCCCTCACATGTTTTAACAAGTGACCTTTGTGACGGAAAGTTTTTTCACAGATTATACAGTGCTTATTTTCTGGTTGTTCAGATGAGGCTGTTTGACTTCCTTCACCCGCTCTGTCCGTTTCATTATTACCAGAAGATATCTCGCTGCCCCTCCGCTCCTCATCACTCTCAGATGCAGCAAGGTCTGACGAGGTGGAACTGGGTGAACCCGGTGGGAGGTGAGTAGAGTCCGACGGCAAAGGTGGCGTTTTATCACCGGTTGTCGTCTCAAAAACTGAAGAGGTGACAGAGTCTGAAAAGCAGAGAAAAGTCATCAGCTCAAGTAATTTTAATTAAAAGCTGGACAACAATCACCGAGAAAATATGTGACTGAGAAGAAACTTTTTTTTTACTTAAACATAGTTACAACAGGTAACTAGATAAATATACATTGAGTAATTGTTTTTAGTGTAATGAATTTAAGAAACTTATTGGCTTGCTAATGATCAATTAGCTGTAAAAAAAAAAAAACATTTTCTAACTAGTTGATAGCTTCTTGGCGCTGATTGGTTGGTGGTTACCTAGCAACACTCAGCCAATGACGTATCATCACGGTGCTTGTTATGCTAGCTCACCTGACCAGTTCAGACGGACCACCGGGTTCAACACGGTCTCCAGCAGCCGGCTCTGCCGCTCCAGCTGCCGTCGGTACTCCGCCACTTCCCGCTCCAACAGCCCGACGACCTCCTGCGCTGCTGCCGCCATCCGCTCAGCGAGAAGCAGCCGGAACAGCCGAGCCGAAGCTCCTCCGGACCTCCATGGTCCACCGCTCCGCTTCTCCAGCGCGCACACAATTTCCTCCCCGACTCTGTTCAGCAGCTCCGACACCGAATCGGTCAGGACCCGAAGCCCGCAGCGTGGCGGGGGTTCTACCAGAGACATCCCGCGACAACTCTTTGCTGTCCCGCACAGGAGGAAAAATAAAAAATAAAAGCGTTCCTGACATCCGGTTGTGTCCGTGTGAACATCGAGCGTCGTAGCGCCCCCTGCTGGAACGGCGGACCAGTTCTCTGATTTATAACTCGGTAAAAAAGCAACAACGAAGTAATAAAACTTTCTGCAGTAAAACCTTCTCCTTGCTCTTCTTCTGATATTCTGCTTTTCGGAGACACTGAGTTTGGGGGTTTCATTATTTGTAAGCCATAATCATAAAAATTACAAGAATTAAAAGCTTGGAAACAATTATCTCTAATGAATTTTTATATAATCAGTCAGAGAGATTTGTCATACATCACATGTGGTGGAACGAGATTATGTACGCAGGGTCCCAGTTATGTCCAACAATAAAATGTACAAGAAAAACAGTAATAAGATCTAAGATATGAACTATGAGAAACATCAACTAAAAATACACTAAGCACTAATAGCATAAAAACAATATGTTGAACAGCAGCACGAACATGAGTCTGTGTGAGCAGATGAGCACACAGGAACACAGCAGCATGAAACAGATCAGCAGCAACATGAAACAGATCAGCAGCAGCATGATGTGATTTTTCACAGTGATTATTCTAGTTAGAGATTCATGAGTCTAACAGCCTCAGGGTAGAAGCTGTTCCTCAGTCTACTGGTTCTACACTTAATGCTCCTCAGCCTCCTTCCTGAGGGGAGTGGGGCAAAAAGTGTGTGCTGGGTGAGTGGGGTCCTTCATGATGCAGGTGGCCCTCTTCCTGCATCTGGAGGTGTAAATGTCTGTGATGGTGGGGAGACTGACTCCAACAGACTTCTGTGCAGCCTTCACCACTCTCTGCAAAGCTTTTCTTTCTGCAGCTGTGCAGCCTCCATGCCACATGTTCATGCTGGAGCACAGGATGCTCTCCACTGCACACCTGTAGAAGGAGGCGAGGACGGAGCTTCCCAGACCAGCTCGTCTCGTCTATGCAAGTTTCACTTTCAGAAATGATAGACAAAAAAACATTGACATTTTTCACAGTATTTTAATCTTTGGAGATGTGCCTGTAACTTGGCAGTTTCCCCATTTCTTTAACTGGATCTATTTTTTTTATATTCACAAGTACAAAATTGTGTTTTTGCAACAAAACGATCTTTTAAAGTTATTTTCTTGGCTCAGTTTATTGCAAATATCAATACATCTATTTAACAAACACAACTTTAAATTCAAAAACTTTTTTTTTTTTACAATATAAACCGGTACAAAAAAATCACATTTTAACATGCATGGGAGAACTCAGTTTTGATGTAAACGTCAACTTCAATTTTAGAATTTCTTTTGTCAGTCGCCCTGAAACCATCTTCAACAAAAACAATCCATCACAACATAGTGAAGGTCTGTCTTTTACATCTACAGCTACATAGACTGTTATAACTAAAAGAACAAGGTACAGATTTAAACTGCAAATGTTGAATACCTCTTGCAACAAACATTCATGAGCAAAATGTTTAAACATTAACTGGTTAATATCAAGGATTTTGGTGCTTATGAAGATAAACTTCGGAATCAAAGAAAATCTCTTTCTGAAACTTTTTCCCCATTTAATCCTCTTTCCGGAACAAAAAACAAATAAAGGATCAGATTTTTCTACTTGAGCACCTTTAGAGCACAACTGGCGACACACACATATTATACAGAAGCTCTTCGTGTCTTTTTCGTCTAAACTCCCACGTTTTATTTTGTTTCGAACTAATCGTCATCGCAGATAAGACTCGATGCTCCTGAGAACAAAGACTCAGCTTCTTCAGCGGGTCCAGCAGTAGTTTGGAAGAACTGTAAAGAGTTTTTTAGCTAAAGACGTCAGAGTGAAGTCGACATCAAATCAGAAAGCAGCTGAGTGCTCCTAGCTTCTATACCAATTTCTGTCAACCTTAGTGTCAATAATCAACGTGAGTAAACATTAAACTGAAATAAACTTCACAGATGAGGCTAACTGACGGTGCTGATTGATGTAAAGTAACAGCTAAAATAAAGTTCAGAATCATTATTTGTGCGACTTGATGCGAACTGGACGTGCTGAGGGTGCTCAAGCACTCCTTTGTTAATAACAAAAGATGTAATTTAGAACATTAATAAATACTTAAACTAATTAAATATATATGATATTGTTATGCAGGTTTACATTACAGTTGTATTTTTATGATAATAATTTACTAATAGGGTAAATTACGTTATAGTTTGGTGGGTCTCCGTTTGTGGTAGTTTTCTCACTTTACGTGTTCTCTCCCAACATCAAACACATTCTTATGGCTACGATTACAAATACATAAAGAATTTACTGTACTAGTAAATATAAATATCTGCCTCAGAGGTCCAGAGCTGTGTGTGCTCAGTCCAGCCTCAGATGATTATTTTTCCCCCCAGTAATAAATCTGACTAGAAATTCCTGTGATTGATTACCAGTAACTGTATGGTGAATTAAAGTTGGTGTAGTGATTTTTTTTTACAAATATTAAAAACAAAGTACCTAATGATGAGGAATAATATTTAAATAATCAACAACGACAAAAAAATAACTGTAATGGGTGAAATGAAAACTAATGTTTTAATTCTTGGTGAAATAGTTATTTAGAGGGAAAATCATATTGTTTGCTGCTCATTTCACTCACTGGACATGTTCCGTGTTTAAACTGAATCAAATCATAATTGTGTAAAGAAGCTGAACTGAAAAATTATTAAAAATCAAGAAAGGAAAAAAA